CTGACTCTTTCTGATCGTGGAAAATATTCTTGCAAAGCCAAAAGAGGAGAAAAAACATCAACAGGACCTAGTAATGAATTACAACTGGATGTTCGAGGTAAGTTATTGGAGGTGAAAAGCCCATTGTTTCTTTTAAAGTTTTAAAGTTGCCATTTTGGATTTTGTCAAGCCCCCTGGGCTTTAGTTTTAGTAAACCATGGAGTTTCCGCTTTTCATGCCTTTTTAATATGTTGAAACAGGATGTTGTGGTGTGAGCTTAATTCTCAGAGGAACGCCTCAATGTGGGCAATGCGTGTGTGTATGCGTGTGTGGGTGTGTGCGCGTGCGCGCGTGTGTGTGTGTGTGTGTGTGTGTGTGTGTGTGTGTGTGTGTGTGTGTGTGTAGGTGGAGTTCTTTAGGAAAGATTAGGTGATGTATCTTCAGGCTTGAAGTCACAGGAGTTAAATTATAGAAACGGAAATTGTGAGATAACCGAGATAGTAAAGGGGTGAAAATGTTTAGAAAAAGTGATAAACCATATAATGATGCAATTATATAAAAGTTGTTTCCCCTCCTTCCTCGTTCTACATTATTTCCTTTCTATGACTGAAGAAACAAGAATTGATAGCTCTGAATAGATGCACTTTTATCACTGCTGTTTTCATTACTAGCTGTACTGTGATTTCATGAGTGTAACGGAAAAGTTCACAGAACAACAGGTCTGGCCTAATTGCATAAACCAAATTAGGTTAAATGTTTTCTTTCTTTCAATCACCACAAACAGGATGTCAATAATGGTTAATGTATCTCTTTGTCATTAGAAATTCCTGTTCCATTACTGAGTCAAAAAACACAGTGGCTGGATGTGTTCCCCTCCGAGAGCGTGCAGCTGAGCTGCAGGATGGAGGGAAGTTCCGGCTGGACATTCATATGGTACAAAGATTCAGAGGAGTATCATGAAGGCTCTGTCACTAATAGTGAAGCGGAAGGCATTCTTTCCATCAGTCAAGCTTCATCATCACACCGTGGAAAATACCGCTGCTCAGGAAAACTGACAGGCAGGACTGTCAGCAGCGCCCGTAGCTCTCCAGTCGAGCTTACAGTCTATGGTGAGATGTCTGCATGTCTGCTCTTGAAGCCACTTGTGATGTCATTGTATGAGAAATATAAAAGTGACTTTGGCAGGTTAAGGACAGTAATTTCAAGGAAATAGATAACAGTTTTTAAAATATCTCTATTTTTGTCTTGAACCAATCTGCATCTAACCTCATAAAAGACTGTGAAGTGAATGTTTTACACGAATGAAAGATGGTGCTTTGCAAAAGTATTCATACCCTGTGATCTTATCCACATTTTGTCATTTTGAATGTTGTTTTACTGTCCTTACCCTAGCCCTAACCCTAATTGCATAAAATTGCTACATCAAATAAAAAGTCACTGATTCTGCTGCATCACCTTTTTTGCGCACAGCAGTAACATATTCTGAATTGTCATTCTTTCTATAGACAAGTTACCGACACCCGCATTAAGCAGAGATCCGATTTTTACCCCAATGTTTACTGGAGAAACTGTGAAATTAAAATGCACAGTAAATGTTTCTTCTGGCTGGAGTTATCACTGGTACAAAGATGGAAACAATCTGAGCAGTTTTGGCGAAGAGTTAGACATAAGCCTGACTCTTTCTGATAATGGAGGATATTCTTGCGAAGCCAGAAGAGGTGAAAAAACATCAACAGGACGTAGTAAAGAAACACAACTGGATGTTCGAGGTAGGTCATTGGAGGTGAAAAGCCCATTGTTTCTTTTAAAGTTTTAAAGTTGCCATTTTGAATTTTGTGTTATTATTATTAAGATCCCAAATGGCTGGTTTACCTTTAGAAAACCAGAGAGTTTCTGCTTTTCATGCGTTCTTGGTATGTCGATCCACGATGTTGTGGCGTGAGCATAATTCTCCAAAGAACGCCTCAGTGTGGGCGGTGCGGGTATGTTGGTGCAGTTTTTAGGAAATATTAGGTGATGTGTCTTCAGGCTTGTTGGTTAGAGTGAATGATGAAAATGGATGAAGCTTACACGCATGGGAATATTGGAAGAAAATTTGTAGGAGGCTGCACAGATTTAATTCCTAGCTTCACATACGTCCCACGAACCAAAATGATAGCAAATGTTTTAATCCAATAATTTTGATGTGTCAGAAAGACTAAGACCAAAGATCAATTGAGAATCTGTGGTGACTGATGTTCATAGATGCTTCCCCCCTCTTGACTGAGCTTGAACTACTATGCAAAGAAGAAGAGAATCTCTGAAAACATGTGTGACTGTATTAGACTGAAAGGAGACTCAACGATTGCTGAGTCAAACAGATTTTTCAGATTTTCGTCAGGCTTTTATTTTCCCTTAAATTAGATCCTTCGTTGTTTCCCCACCTAATGTAAACTTAGCAGTAAGGTACCCACACTCCTATATAAGTTATTCTTCCTGCTATTTTACATCTTCTCTGATATTATTGTGAAATTTCAGATGGAAAACCAAACGTCACACTGCTGCAGAATCCCTCGGATAAGTTGATGCACACCGGTGATCGGATTTCCTTCACCTGTCATGTCAATGTCTCCTCCGGATGGAAATACGTATGGTACAAAGACAGCAATCCATTGAAGTCATCTGAAAACTTTCACCAAATTGCTTCTGCTAAGACGTCAGACAGTGGATCATATAAATGCCGAGTTGAAAGGCAAACACCAACAACATTTTCCTCAGAGAGTGGGGATGTAGAACTTAAAATTGACGGTGTGTTTTAATCTTGATTCTTTAGCTTCGTGTATTGTTAAACATGCTATATCACATCTATGACTGTGTTTGTTGTAGAGCGCCCAAAGGCCAATATAGTCCTCTTAACTTCTTGGTCTGAGGTATTTTCCACTGACAGCTTAAAGCTACAATGTGACGTGATGGGCAGTTCAGACTCATGGAACTATACATGGTAATGACACAAATGAATAAGTGGTCTTTTTTTTTATTTGCATAGTTTAAAATGCATTTCCATTGTAACAAATTCTCTAAAATGACTCCAACAGGTACAAAGAGGGCATTAATGTCAGTCAGTCGCCCTCATCGAAATATAAGGTCACGCCAAATAATGACCCAGAGCAGAGCTCATACACATGTGAGGGCATTCGCAACGAGAGACCACTGTTTTCAGTACGCAGCGACTCCTACAGAACCAAGAACCTACGTGAGTATAACTCACTCATTAATTTTCACCTTGAAATATTTGATCCCTTGTTTTTTTTTTTTTTATTCATTGTTTGTTTGTGTTTTATGCAATTTGTAGTTTTAAAGAGGAGGATCCTTCTTTCCATCTCTGGTTGCCTTTTCTTTGGCATCATAGCTGTTTTCATTGGATGCGTTACCCTAAGAATCTGTCGTAAACCAGGTTTGGGATTTTTACATTTGCAATTTGTTAATGTCCCATATATTGACTTAGAAGTGTTAGTCATCACTGATTCCCTTTAGCTTTTCTAGCTGAATTGAACACAAGGCCAGTCACAGCTAATGTACCTGATCAGTCAGGCCAGTGCAGCCGACTGGTCAAACAGAAACCACTTCCGACTAAAGCATCTTAAAGCTTTTGTTAAAGCTATGCGTTAACATAGCTTGAACACCACAAACAAAGCCAATGTAGCTGCTGGTGAAGGCCAATAGTTATTTAAAATTTATGTGACGCCAATTTCTGGTAAGATGTGACACACAAAAGCCACTAGGCTTTTTTTTTTAATTTTTTTATTTTTAACTTTTTGTTATCGTCACACAGTTGCTGCAGATGACAAGCAAGAGGAGACCAATCTGTTTCTCACCATGGCTCAGTTAAAGGACCGAAATGGTAGGTAGAGCCCAGATTGTGTGGTTTGGTGGGTGTAGATAACCTTTTTCTGAAAGTACATAATGCCCTGCAGATGATTGAGTTCAAGATGATTTCTTTTTAAAAGGGATTTTTATCAGCTCACACATTTAAGTTTGTGTCATACTGGAATGCGTGTTTAAACGTTTAGGTTTCAATTCCTTCCCATCTTCTGCTACAGATGCACCCTGTCCTCTGGTTGAGTACATCACTGATGCGGATGTCAATCCACCTGCCAAAGGTAACATATAAAGATCTGATGTTTTTTCAGATTAGTCCAGACTGTGGAAACAAGCAAAAACCAAGCAGAGGACAGAGAATAGTTCTTTTTTGGTTCCTAAAACGAGTTTCTCACCTCATTGCTAATGATAACTTTCTTTTATCTGGTGTGAAGAAGGGGAGGAGAACGGCACAATCTGCAGTGAAGCAACCCCTCTCCCGATAACGTCGCCAGATGAGCAAGGTATTTCTTTGTAAACTACAAAACAACTCTCTAGTAAGACAGCACAAAACATTTCTGACACGTCTTTCTGCACCTTTGTTTTCAGCTGCGACAACCAACGGGAAAGAGACGACAGAGAATGGTGGTGGGATGGTTTCCTTCCTGCAGTGAATTACTAGAGACGACCCTAAAATGTTGTTCACTGGTAGTTACATATATTTGTCAGACAACTTATTACAGCACAACAAACTCAGCTTTCGAGTTAGCAAACTAGCGATTTATCATTATGACATGAAAAGGTGTAAATAGCATGATCAGGCAAATGGATTTATTTAATGGTCAGCACTTTCAGATTTGGCAAATGAAACTGTGTAGATTTCTTTTTTATTACTACTTTACATAAATAACCTAGTAAAAAAAAAGTAGAGTTGTGAATATTTTTTAGTGCACCTTCGCTTCTTTCAGTTCATGGTTCAGTTCTCCAAAAAGACACCAGATGTCAGTATAACTTTTTCCAGTTTTGTTTTTAATTTTTTTTTTTAATGGTTCATGACTGAATGTATTTCGCATTGCTTTGCAGCGTGTTTGATATATTTATCTACAAATTGTGTACCTTCATGTATTCATTTTTAAAAATAAGAAGTAGAAAATGTTGCCACAAGTGCTTATTCTGTTAAAAATGTATCCGCAGCGTCAAATGTGACAGCAAAAAAACAAAGAAGAAATAAAAAACAAAAAAACGAAGTGATGATTTCACAAGCAGGCTGCATCAGTCAGGTTGAACCTGCAGACAGTAACGAGACAGGAAATCCACATGGAGTTATTATCCAGATAGACAATTAAAAAAAAACAAAAAAACAATCAAATTTCATGATATCACTCACATCTACTTCAGGATATCGGTCAGTCTCTCCACATAATACTCATAGTTCTCCTGGCAATCCTCCCACGGTGTAAAGCTCTCGCCCTCCTGTTCCACATACATTTCCCAAACATGCTGGAAGTCAATGGGCTTCATCATCCGCAGCTTGCAGCCGGCTCTCGCTAGGGCCTTCAGGCCTTCCACTATCTCCGGCTCCTCCCATTCGAAGAGACGGGAGCAGAATATGGAGAGGCGCAGCTTCTTGCGCTGCTGGAGGATGTTGGCCAACTTGGCGGCACAAGCGACGCAGGGGCTGGATGAAACGTACCATGTCACGTCATATTCCTTAGAGGAGTTTGGGAGAACCTGGAAAAAAATAATGCAGGTTGGGTGTTTGATGGCATGACAATGGAAAAAAAAAACTATAAATATGATATGATATGAGGGTAATGTTTTTGCTTAGTATGAATCCAAGGGGGTGAAAAAATAAAGAGAACACTTTGGAGTTTTCAAATAATTTGGATGATTAAAGTTCCAGCAAGGGCAAGTCTTGACTAGTAAAGGCTAGCTCCCTAATTAAAACATCAGGTGCCCACTGGGAAACACCTGGACTCAGGTTTTCCAGTCCACAGGTGCATCTCAATAAACCAGAATACAATCAAAACATTTAATTCAACACTTTCAGTCTAAAAATTAAATTTATATTTTATACAGATTCATTATGCAGAGAGTGGTATGGTTATACCAACAATTATCCATACCTTTGGTAGATTTAGATTTTTTTTTTTTTTTTTTGCATTCAACCAAGAATTTTGTCAACAAGATAATGGAAAAAGATCATTTATCTCTTGTTATTTGAACTAGAACATCCAGATAAAAACTATTTAAACCTTTCTCAATAAAAAATCTTTATGGGTATTAGAAAAATCTAATCTTTCTTATAATTGCCTTACTGTAACAAATGTGCTCCCTTCATAGCTTCTCAATCAGAGTCAAGTCAAGACCAGGGCTGGGTGAGTCCGAATAAACAATATTAGACTCAGCTGGTGGTTCTAGAAGAAATTCTAGTTCATGCATTAGCATTATAAGCACTTATATTTGGTTTGGGATCTTTCTGCATGCCTCAGTGTGATCTGGCATGGTAGGGATCAACGAGTCGAACTGTTGAGATGTTTAGGAAGTAAAATATCCCTTCAGCTCACCTACACTGTTGGCTTTAGTGTCTCTCGTGTTCCCTTTCACAATGCTCCTTAAATTCCTGGGTTTCTCCAAAAAAGCTGCCCTGCAGTTTATTAGTTGACCTCTGGGCTGACTTTGGACCGACATTGGCAGATGGCTCGGCTTTCAAATGATCACCGATTGTGGAAAGTTCATGCTGGACCTTGTGCAACTTCTCTCAGATTCTGGGGAGTTTGATTTCCAAATGAGCAACAGCGTAGATGTTTAGATTGTATCTATGCGTCCATATGAGATGTTTAGAGAGAAAAAGGATGCTGAATGTCACAAAAAGAGATCTGCTGTAAGTGCACTGCACAGGTGTGGGCGGGTCATTTTGTGGTCTCGCATTACAGAGTTTCTTAAATTAGAATGGCAGGCAGACCATTCAGCTATCAGATTTCCCTTTTTCTGACAAGAAATCACGTATTTACTTTGGGACAGTCTCTCAGTTATCCTAGTTGAACATGTGACATTTGACCTGGTGCTGATGTATTTGAGTTCTGCTTTCGTAATTTAGGTCCAAACTCACTTGACTAAATTCATGAATTTGACATTATAGTAGAAAATGAACCAAGTTGTGTGTCTTTCCTGCACTATTGCTCCGTGTTTGTGCTGTATCCCCTCAGATGATCTCACTGCATGACCAAACGGCTTGAGTCTGTTTTTGTTCACTGACTAAAACGAGATAACTCTCCCCCTTGATTGGATTTAAATTGCTTTTAGTGTGTTTATTTTCTCAACTTTACAGAAGTATGCAAGATCAGATTATGCTGAACTGAATTGAACTAAACTACATTGGATTTGATCAAGGGGAGGAGATTAAATTAGACTGAATCGCATTAAATGAAATTGGATTATTTGTAATATGTATTCATATTTACTTTCTTTTTTTTTTAAGGAGCCCTGAGGTGACTTTTCCTGTCAGATGATGCTTTACAAACAAAACTTGAGTTGAATTACTTTTAGGTTTTTCCACACAGGAACATTGTGATGTCAGAAGGATGAATGGATGAAAATTAAAATATGAATAAAGATTGAAGAATTATCAAAAAAGAAAAAAAAAACATAATATGAGAAGATTACTTCTACAAGTACATATTTATTGTAAGCAAATGTCAGCCACATTGTTATACTAATGGGAACTAAGTGAAGGTTATGACCAAGCATCTTTGGATGAACAACAAATAAAAGACAGAATGTTACAGATCTAAAACCATTTTTGAGGACAATTTGCAAAATATATTAGGAAAGTAGAACATTTTCATACTGAAATTTGTCCATAAGGTTCTTAAGCAGGAAAAGCACAGTTTGCTTTTGGGTTTATTGTCATTAAACACCCTACTTGAATAAAAAAAAAAAAAAAAAGAAACAAAAATAAGACATTTTTTTTTTTTTTTTTTTTAATTTAAACAAAAAATTTTTTTTTTTTTTTTTCCCCCCCCACACGGGGGGG